ATTAGTTGCAAGCTATTTATTTTTGTTGTCTCTCATTAGGAGTGTGATTATATTTTATCTTTGGACGTGATTACTTATTTTGTTATTACTATGAGGACTTTTGAGAACACCCTAACATTATGGGCAAGATTTTAAAATATAAACTGTGTTATTTCACTTGTGTCTATCTCAAAACCTGTGCCATTTCTGAACTGAACTATTCGTTTGAACGATGGAGAAGGACTGCACATATTGGATGGCCTTGCCCACCTAATCCTTATTGAACTGTGTGTTATTCAGGATCTGTGTGTCTTAAGTGGAGTATAGCACGGGCTTCTCTGGTTGGAGTTCACAGTCCAGCAAAGCCACAAATGAAAAGCATTGAGTATTTTTGTCTGATTTTTTTCTCTTTATACCACTGGACTTGTGTCAAAACTCTTTTTGCTTTCCAGTTCAAATAGGCAGCTTAATTCATAGAGGGCAATCCGCCCACACCAGTCATTCATCTTGATAGATAGATTTTGTGTGTGTGTCTGTGTGTTAAGTAGACCTTCAGAGTATTATTTGAGGTCATAGTGTGAAGCCTTCTGGCCCGTCCTTGCTTAGTTTATGGTTTGCAGTTTGATTTAAAGTTAAAGTCAGGATTAGGATGGGGTAATAATAAATGAAAGTTGTTCTAATCAATACTTTTTTATTAACAACAGATCAAATGACTGCGTAATGTGAAAGGTCACTCATAATGACAAAACCACAAAGAATTATCTCTTGACTTTACTGCTTTACAGCAGCTTTACTGAGTGTTTTGCCATCTTTTATGGCCCACAATTTGACTGTTTTGTCTGTAAAACTCTGCAACAGGCGGCTTTTTCAATGAAAAATCTCGAAAAACTGCATCTACACTTCCTGTCCTGCACCAAACAGACAAAGTTAGCGACTAGCAGTGAAGATAGCTGAGTATCTAGCCGCTAAAGAGCAGATAATAGGAATTGGTGGAGACCAAAACAGAGCTAACACGTAATTAATATCTGACTTAAATTTTCACCAGGTGAACACAAACGTAGCTTCAAATGAATGCTAATGTTGCTCTGTGTTTGCTGGATATGTAAATAGTGCTTGCCATGTCAACTTTATTGACCTTATGCGTTTCAGCAACAAGGAAGTGCTTCAACTGTTTGTCTTTTACCTTCCTGTGTACATTGGAAGTGCACAGTGCAGAATACACTTTTCACAGTGGATACTGTTACACACAGTCCAGTTTTCCATGGCATGGGCTTATCATTTTGTAACTAGCAAATTATTCCAAATTATATTATCAATATAATATATGTTATTACAAGTTACTTGTTCATTTTTTCTACTTCAAAAGTGAATATGCTACTTTCCAAAAATGTTGACCTATTCCTTTAAGGGTGGAGTGACATTAACGGTAAGTGTGAGGTAAAGCAACAGTTTGAAAATGACAACAGTGCAAGTGCTGTAGCATGAGTGCATGTGTAATTGCTTTTTGAGAGTGGCTTGTGTTTGCAACAGTGTCATGTTTCTATTACTGACCAGCATTGACCATAACTGTCTGCAACAACAACGTCAAGTTGAGTAATTTGTAGCTGTGACAGACAACAAAGACAAACAGCTTTAAAAGAATGCAAATTCTCCTCCACAAACTGTTGTTGGTGTTTTGATGAAAATTGCCGTTACTCTATGAATCATTATGGTGCTTTCAAGCATGGCCAAGCATGTGTGCAAATCCATTCAACTGAGCTTCAATTCTTCTGAAATAATTTCCTTTCCAAATGAATGTTTTCCATAACACAGTCGGTGAACCAGGCTGTTATTCCAAGAATATTTCTCTTAATTTATATTTGAAAAAAAAGAGAGAAATCAGCATTAAATTACATCATTATATCATAACCCCCCAGTGTGTGTGGGAAATATGAGCTATGGTAGAAGCAAAGAGGGGGAGAGAGATCTGAAGTTCTTTTTCAGAGAATACAGTTTCCATCCCACTCCTGCGAGCGAAGCTTAGGGGTCCGTACTCTCCATGGACTCTCTCTGTGTGCCAGACTTCACTGGGTTTAGCACAAGAAGCACAACTTATTGGATTATGGGGTCCACCGTCTATGCTCATATTGCTGGAGGCTGTGTGTGTGTGCGCGGGGTATATGTGGGTGGGCAGCTTGTGAACCGAGGGAGGGATGGAGTAGTAAATACACGATAAATTCCCATTTACTTTCCTATTTTATATGCAGAATTTCTCATAGAGGCCTGCCTTTTCATGTTCAAAGGTTAGAAGTTTAAACAGGCCAGAGGAGCTGCCTACTGAAAATCAAGCACAGCTGTCCAGAATTTTCTTGTTTCACGTGGATTTAACGGCACCTGTCTCAGGAAGTGTTTTGTCTGCACCGACAGGATAAGGTTTTTGGCACACATCTTGGTTGGATGGACCCTCTGCTGATGATATAACGCTCCATAATTTTCTACATGCAGACAGAGATTCATAGTGGAAGTGATTTACAACAAAACCACTCTCTATTTGTGTCCCTAGTGCCTATTCAATATAGTAACCCTGCTAACCCTTCACATATTTCAACCTGGGTAGTGTGGGCAGTTGTATTTTCAGGATGAAGTTAATCTGTCACTCTCTTCTACATATGTGTCCTCTTTCAATGCTGTAGATGTAAAAAATAAAATCATAATACTGGATCTAGCTGCACTAGTTTCAACACTGTTAATACTAGAGAATGAAAGCATATTATATATTAGGCAGCCAATGAGATTTTGTCCTGCTGTGTCCAGCATCATTCAAGCATGCTTTGATGGCAGATGTGCCCTTTCCTTAGTGCGTTACTCACTGAGAAAAAGAACCAGAGGATGGGAGGAATCTCTGCCTCTTTATTATTTATTCTGCAGAATGGCACATAGAAAACATGCAGGGCAGGAGCAGCTGAAAACTGCTCCCGTGCTCGGTGAGAGGAAGCAATCAAACCGGTTTCACGGCATAACATGACAACAGATAGAGTTGGATGACAACCACGGCAACACTTATAACGATGCTACCTTGCATTGTGTAACTAACACCACAAAGACTGCAGAGTATCTGTTTATGATGGGCAGGACATCTGTTAATGACAACTGATTGTTGTAGAGGAGACAAAAAATTTCACTGTCAGAGTGAACATTTAATTGCAGAGATATAAGGGGTCATGAATATAGTGTGTGGCCCAGAATGTGCTGGCTGTATTCCACTCACGTAGCTCTTTGAGGGGCTGAGTGACTGCCAGAAGCGCCATCCTTGTCCCAGTGGTGTTCCACCTTAAAAAGATGAATATATGTGCTCAACTGGCTCCCTGACATTGACACACCGTGACTCACGCTGCCTCGCTATTTCAGTATGGCTTCTGGCAAGCCCAGCCTTTCTGTAGCCTCTCCCTTCCCTGCTTTGGTCATTTGTTTGTCTCCCCTGCTAGGCTGTTTACTTGTAATTTGGACATCTGTCAAGGTGGCTCGTTTGCTACCCTGTGGTGTGATTAGGCCACCTATGCCAAATCTGGGAAGATAGATGGGGTAATGGTAAGTCTTGGCTTTAAAGACAAATCCAGAGCTTGGCTACTTCTCATCTACCAAGTTTAGTAATTAAGAAATCACCGGGTGGCAAAAATGGTGCTGTGTCACAGTGGTCAGTGGTGTATTCATCACACTCCTTCACCTGGAGTCTAATGGTGGTCTTGTGCAGTGTCCCAATACTGTCTGTTTGGTCCCGCCTTGTCCTGTCACACAGTCTGTTCAGCGCAGCGCTCCGGTGCCAGAACCTCCTCCTACACCGGGGAGGAGGGAGTCTGGCAATTAACCACCTGCTGGTAAAGCAGCCGTACATGTCCTCACACACACCCTGACATTTGGAGGATCACTCATGAACACATTCATGTAGCTGCGGTGTCACTCACACACGCAGCATACATACTGGTACGTACATACTGGTATACGGCGCACAAACACAGTGTGCAGAAAAAGAGGAGGGGGGTGGTGGAGCTGATTTCAAATTTGCTTTCCAATCATGTTTCATCCTGAGCTATACTAATTTGTTCATCTCCTTAATGAACATTATTGGCGGGATTGCATTAACCCAGCACTTAAGTTTCCTAATGGCTAGCTTCACGCTCCTTGCTCACATCCCATACTGTACGCTCACACAATCAATACTGAATAATTTCACCGCCCCATCCAACTTCTGTGAAAACGTCATTCTTTTAATTTTTGGATCATCAGCCACGGTGAGATTTAGCATGTTAACACAGATGATAAATGCCACAATAACCACTAATCTAGAGATGTTTACCTCCAAATCAAAACTCATCATTCCCAGCTGTTAAGAAGTTGTGGCACTGTAGGCTAATTCAAATAGCTGATTAATCTGATAAGCTTAATCATCTAATAAAGGCTTTATTTACAGCCTGAACACTGCAGAAGTTGCACTGCAGTTTGTGGCTCACACACATCTCACTGTGCACTCTGTCTGTGAGCAACAACAACAATGACTGTTTCTATGGGTGTGTCAGGAGGGTGTGTAGAGGAAAGGTTTGGGAAAATGCAACAAAAATGTGTAGGCCAATTCAAATTTACACAAGTAGATTAAAAAAACATAAATTTAACTATATATAAATGACATTACAGCATACAGAAACCCTATGTTTGACCAGCAGCACCTGAAATGCATTATTGTGGAATGACAGATGACAGATACATTGACCAGCATAAAAAGCAGCGCAGTAACTTGTTGAACAACAGCATTGCCAGGTAATGATTAATCTCTGACATCAGCTAGTGTACATAGGCCTGTGATTAGAAAACAAACAGAAAGTTTAGCAAAGTAAAGCTGAAATCTTTTTGAATTATTATTGTTACTTACGTGTTTTACTTTTTTCACTCTAAACAAATGAACAAAAGTCCAACCTACCTACTAAAATTTGTTTTCAAAAATAAATCCTTGAAATGTCACTTGAATGTTGTTTGAAAATATAGGAGTGGCCAGCAGATGTACTATGGACAGAGAGGGTGTGGCCATAGTTTCACCTGAGAACAAAGTGAGCAAGCTTCACCAGTACTGCAACACTGCCAGGCCTCAAAGGACGTACTTTTACGTTGGATTATTCTTTCACTTTAAGGTATGTCAGAGAAATTTGTTATTACTTAATTTGTTTTTCTTGGTAGTGTGTGGTTAAGATTGAAAGACTTTGATATTCACATTCATTGTACACCTCACTTGCTCCAGAACAAAAGGGAGAAAGCACTAAGAGCATGTTACGTTTCAGATAAACACCTGTGTCAGAGAGGCGGATGACAGCCACACAGTAGAGATATTTTTGCTGCATTCAAAGATAGTAAATAGTCACTGAAATTACATTCTCTGAATAATTTCATCCCTTCGTGTTACATTTGCTCTCAGAGTTACAATGGACCCTGTATTCACAAGCGTGAGGCTAAAGGTGGCTGTGCTTATTCTGGTAACAATTCAGCTGAGGACAGGTGAGTCTGATTTCTTTATCTCTGGAGTGTGTTTTAGGTTTCGGATATGTACGGCCAAAGCAAATACAACATTTGACATGTCTTTAAATGCCCTTTTTTTTTAAAGTTGTTTAAGTATTCTCATCCTAGAGAGAATAGAATATGTGATTATTAATAGAAATAATTAATAGAATAGCATAATAAAATTAATAGAATCTGGATTGTACATCAGCTGTGCTTCACTCAATAGACTGGCCAGTCTGATGAGCCGATAGTGGTACCTCTGAGTGTTTTTCATTGAAGACACTCAATGAACCATGTGGTAATGCGGGTGGCTGGCTGGTGCCCAGCATTCAACATTCATGGCTCTTTTCATAGCTCTTTTACGTATTCCTGTTGCTAAGAGTGAAACTGGTGTGTTCATTTTTAAAGTAAGATCCTGAGAGACTATCGTCCCTAGTGGAGAAATTGGGGTTGGGCCTCCATCCAAGCTGTCTATTTTATTACACAAAGTCAAATAAAATGCATGCAGCAGAGAGAGTGAGAGTAACAGTGTACATATGGAACACATGCAAAACTCTTATCATGTCACAAAAACCTCCAAGCATATTGTCTTGGCCAATGCGGAGGTGCACAGGATTTCAATAGTTGTAGCGCTTTGTGTCAAGCTTAGTGACTGTGCTCACTGGCAAGTTAGCTTAGCTGTCTCTCCACATGGAAAACACGTTGTCCTTAGATCACAGCATTTCGCCCAAGGGGGTTTTTGTAGTGCAAACATTTGACTGACTAATTTGAGCTTTTTTCAGACTCCCTTCATCACGTCTGCCATTTACACGCTTTTATAAATACCTCTGACATACTTTGTTTTGTTGCTGTGACGTGCTCTCAGAGTGCTATAGTGGATTTAATGAGGAGAGGTGTCAAAAGACAGTCTGATTTGATTCATCAACATGGTCCATTAAGATATTAAGTGAAGGTTAAACATCTAAACGTGGAAATGGTGAAAAGATCCAGATGTCTGTGAAGTTGAATGATAACATTACCAAGATAAATAACTTGGATCTGTTGAAGTGTGTTGCCACGCAATAATAATCAGCGTTGAGTTATTTCTACAAACGTCAAGCTATCAGCAATAATTAAAATCCATGGCTGTAAGCAGTGAGTCAGCAGCGTGTGTGTCAACCCCGAAACAGCTTTTAACTGCCACTTGTCAAAATGATTTTTTTATGTTTGCTCAGATATTCAGTTTTCATCAGAATTTATTAATATATTTCTGACAACTAATGATCCTTGAGAGTTTCAAATTAATACGTAACTCATTTTTGTAAAAATACCACATTTACATCTATTCCAATTCCAAAAGCTCCTTAGTTTGACTTAAGAGTCCAATTAGTCTCAGATCAGTACCTACTCCACTCTGAAAACTGTTTACGAGCACAGCCCCAGAGCTTGAATGCCATTAAGTCGGGAAAATATTAATGCGTTTGAGAAAGAAATTTGTTTTTTGTGTTTGTCTTTTGGCCTGGGTAGATTATGAAAACTGGAGGGGGGGGTGAAGTGTATATTATGATTTAGACAAATCTGACTAGAATTTTTCTGACCCATCAGATGTAACAGAGGCAATGCAGGTGACATCCTCTGGTTCACAGACCATTCAAAAAGCCCAGGGGGAGACAGTCATCCTGGGATGCACCTACACTGCCGCCCCCACAGACATAGGAGACCTGGATATTGAGTGGTACAACGTAAAACCGGACATGACGCAGAAAGATCAACTGGTAGGTGGATGTTTGAGGACAGAGAGGAATGTTGTTGAGAAACTTGTCTTGGAGGTTGGATAAATGATTTAATCATTTATTAAACATGCCTGCGGGGGGGTTATATTTTACCTTTTGGCTCTTTTAGTGGAGAAACCTGCTTTGAAGAACCGTCATCACTCAATGCAATCTTTGCATTTCAGATCTTATCGTACACAGGGGGTCAGATACACCAATACGGCGACCCCAGCATCTCCAAAAGGATCAACTTCACAGTGGACCCCACTTTGGGAGATGCTTCCATGTCTATGTCTAATCTGAGGGGCTCAGACACAGCCACCTACCAGTGTAAAGTCAAGAAGGGCCCGGGTGTTGACATGCGAAAAGTCAGTTTGGTGGTGTTGGGTGAGGAGGAATTCCTTTTTACCAGTTTAACCTGTTCATTTTCTCAGCCCTGTCATTCTTTTAAATGATGCTCTCACTCACAGGGAATGTAGAGACAGACTTTCAGTTCCTGTCTCTCAGCCCTACCTCAGATTGTTCTCCTCTTTCACACCTTTAACCCTCCCATGATGAACTAAAGCTTTCATGATTAACAAATTATTAATAATCTATTGTTTTTGTTTCATGTGTTTTATTTATTTTCTTTCACAAGTTCCCCCGTCAGAGACAAGGTGTTGGGTTGAAGGAGGCGAGGAGAAAGGTGCCCCAGTCTCCCTCCGCTGCAAATCGTCCCAGGGGTCCACTCCTCTCAGTTACGTGTGGACCAGAGAAAGTGGAGGTGCAATGCCATCTACTGCAACCCAAAGTGAGGAGGCAGCTTGACAGACAAAAAGACTTTTCTCTAACACATCCACGATGCTGTTTTTGAATAATATGTTCATGCTGAATGTTGTCTTCTTTTAATAAGACCCACAGACTGGGGAGCTTTTGATAAAGAACCATACAGACAGCAACGTTGGAAGTTATGTGTGTGAGGCGAGTAACGCTGTTGGCAAAGCACAGTGTAAATATGCACTGCGTGCATACAACCGTAAGTACATGATATTATCATCTAATTTTACCCTTAAGTACTTGTACACTCATACCCTCCTAAAGCAGCTTTTTTAAAAATGTTCTACTGCATGGTTTAAATATTTGTTGTTGTCTGAAATGCAGGTTGTAAAATCTTTTTAAAGCTGTAATTCATAACTGCAATGGAGAGCTGCACTTGTTGAGTCTTAAAGCACCACGTCTTCTCTTCCAGCTACCAACAAGGTGGGTGTCATAGTTGGGGCGGTGATAGGCGCTCTCTTGCTGCTGCTCCTCCTCCTGCTTCTCATCTGGCTCCTGGTCTGCTGCTGCCATAAGCGCCGCTATCAGAAAGAGGTCTCAAATGAAATAAGGTATTGTACCTGAGCTTGAAACTATTTCCCCACACTCATTAAATAATTTTAAATCTCAGGATCATCTCATTGAGACATGTGTGACTTGTTTCCCAAGGGAGGACGCCAGGGCCCCTGAGAGTAGACCCACCAGCAGAAACTCCAGTTTCCGCTCAGTGTTGGGGTACCGCACCCACCCCGGGGTGGAGTACAGCTCCGTGAGGAGCCACCTGCCCAATGAACTGGGCTCATCACAGCTAAATACTGCAGGGGGAAGTCCTCTGCCTCTCAAATACGACCATCGATATGGATACCCTGTGTAACTACAATCCAAATGCCTGAAAGTCTTTTTTCAGTGTGAAACTAAACCTTCTGAAGAAAACCCTTTTTTAAACATCTTTTAAAGAATATGCTATGTAAAGTATGTATATGACAAATGGTGCGAAAGGACATATTTAACTGGAGAATTATGGTGCTGGTAAACGACTACTGGGGACTCACATCTTACATCAGCCTTTGGAGAAATAAATGTATAACTGGCTGACTTTCAGTATACTGTGGCACATTATTACAAAAAGAATAGGTTCTCATAATCCAAGTCATTATTACACTGATTCTACTAAAACTGTATGTAAATTGTATATGTAAAAAAAAAAAACATTTATTTTTATTGCTGCGTTTTTTATATGATGCATATTTAGCTCAATCAAGTTTTGTACAATAAAAAAGATTTTAGATGACAAATCAGTGTGAAGAGAATACCATTTTAATCCTATCTTTGTGTCATGGCACCATCTTTTTTTGCTTGATGATATCTGGGCTGACGAAACCTAACAGAATCACATTTGGAACACATCTCCCGCTGCCAGGATGCAACAGTAGTTATCTCTCTGAAAAAGATGAAACTGAATTGAATGAGTTGTATTTTCATCACAATGAAATCAGACATAAAACCTGTGAAATTATCTATATGGTCACAAGTTTAAATACCACTTAGTTAGAGAGGGTCATTGTGTTTAGGAATTTGGAGATTGCAACAACTGGGTGTTGCAGTTATGAGTGATCTTGGTGCATAATCATGGTCAGACAAACAATCTGTCTGTTTTCATGGCCAGCTGATTGGAGTACAGCTATTTCAAGGGCTATATAATAACATAAATTCAAACTTTGAGCTTTGAGTCAGAATGTTGGAAGACAGTGAAGTTGATTTTGCCTCTGATCCTCTTATGTGCTTTGGCCTCCTGGAATATTTTTCATTTGAAGAACAAAGTGCTGCAAAATTGCCTTGTTTGTGTGGTGTGTTTTTCCATTTTTTTTCAAAGCAGCCAGTAAAGCAGTTATTAGTCTAACAGCTAGTAGTTGAGGCTGTAACCTGCAGCTGCCACTCTCAGAATCCAGAGTCAGCAACATGCCCATGGCCCCCGCCTCTCGTCTTTATTGGCCTGATCCCATCTTCTTCAAAAGGCTTATGTTGAATTAATAGGAGATGGAAGAAGTGGTGAGGGTCGGTGGTCTATTGGTAATACATTCTGCCAAGGGCCCCCTTACAGACAGACAGGGGGCTGCAGTGCACTGATCTGTGAAGGCTGTGTATTAACAGTGTTACTGTTTCAAATCATCAGAAATAAAATGCATCAAAATTAGACTTTCAATTTTAGACACGCTTCCCTCACTTTTAGATTAATTTTTCTTGGAAATTTCACCAGCAGCACCTTAGTTTGCATTCACCTCCCAGAGCACACACATACACACATGTACACAGACACACACACTAACAAAACATGTTTACTATGTCCCTCTGCAATGTTTTACTTTGTTACTTGTTTGCTTCACATGAAGACAAATAGAAAGCTGTCAACGTTTGTGTGTACATGCCCGTGTCTGTATCTTTCTGTTTACTCAATTCAAATTTGTAAAGAAATGCACATCCATCAGAAAGACCAGTTCTCTGTACAAAAGCCTTTTTGTGTGCCAACACTAGTCTGTCCTTTGATCCATGCATGAACTTGGGAAATAGATACAATAATTAATTACAAATAATTTTCTAGCAAACTCTCTCTGAAACCACATAATCTCTCCTTTTAATAATAAGTTTGGTAGAGGGTAGAACTTCTAACAAGACTGGCATAGTAATTATTTTTTAAAAACCAAACGCTCCCACTGAAGTGTTCTTTCACATCTATATTCAAAGAGCTTTTTCCTGAAAAAGATCTCTTTTTTTTTATGCTATTGTGCAGGCAGAATCTGTCCTTGAGATTTGGCTTTGGATTGTTTGGTAAAAAATTAACTATTCATTACAACAATAAATGTGACTAAATTGAGGTGCTATTCATGAAGAACTAAGGGCCTTGGCAAGTCATATTAATTTCTCATATATTTAGGATCCTGTTTGCTATGATTGAATAGTTATGTATGTAAAATAAGCAAAGACATCTAAATAAAATATTAATTACAATTTAATTTAGGTCAACATCTTGCTAAAAGTGCATCTACAAAGTTAGTGTCCTCAACAGAATAAACTGCAGTGATAAGGTATTGCATTAACAAGGCTCCTGAAGGTGATACAAAGGAGATTTGCTTTTCTTATCAGGTAAATAGGTGTGTGACCTTGTGTGTGTGTGGGGGGGGTTGTTGTTTGTAAATATGTGGCGAAGCTGCAGGAATAACCATTTGCATGCGGAGTCTGGTTGAGTGTGGTCTGCGGATTGGCTGAGCTGTCATGCAGCACTGATTGCCACACAGTAAAGTCCCCGGATATTAATAATGAGCACATATCCTGCACACCCCGTGTCAATGCAAATACACCGTCACCACTACCTGTGGTCATACCTGATGTAAATCATAAACAATGCTTATATATAAATCCCAGTCAAGGAACACTTAAATCCAAGGACTTCACCTTGCTGTGTGCATCCTGCAGACAGCTTCGGGGGAAGGATTAATGCTGGGATAAACAAAACAAAACAAAGGATTCTTCAACTGCAGCCAAAGGTATTGAGTCAGACAACGTATTGTGACGACTAGCAGGCAAAGAGAATGTAAGCAGAAACCTTGAGTAGGATTCAGGGTGATAAAAAGCCTCATCCAACCCATGGGAGCTTCGTTTGAGGTAAAAATGGAAGATGTCTTAACCTAATTGCTCTAACTGTCTTACCTCAGCTACACTTAACTTCCTTTTGCACATGACCACAGCAATTGTAGATTTCACATATATTTTAACTAATGTAAAATATTTTTAATTGAGCCCATGTGGGTCTGTTTAATGTATTTCAAAAGGTGAATTTGTGAATCTTTTCCCCAGGCCCCACTGACAAACTGCGACTGATTCCATTCTGTGGCAGAAATGAAGAATCTTCTGATTTGGAGTGTGTGTGCATAATTCTTTTGCCTTCTTGTCGTCTCTTTGAGCGCAGCAAAACAAAACACTTCAGAAGTCCACACAGACTGCTGATTGCTACATAGACACATAAAGACACATGAAGTTATTCCCATAAATGCATATGTGTTTGGGGTAAAGATCATCATTATGTTTGGGATAAATAAATTGGCCCTCTGGGTAGTGACAGGTCTGTTGGCCGTCATGACTGTCTTCTTTAACGGCTACATCTTCTTGATGAGTCTGTGGAACTACAAGCAGAAAAAGCAGTGGTGTCCCAGTGAAACAATCATCACGGCTCTGTCTGCGGCCAACGTCGCTCACCAGCTGGTCAGTTATTTCTGGATGACCATGTATGAGGTGGATAGTAAGTGTTTCGTCAACCCGATGCCCTACACAGTCATGCTACTGTTAATCTACACCCTCAAGTTCACCATCATGTGGAACACCAGCTTTCTCACTTTTTATTACAGCACCAAGCTGGTGCACACACCAAATCACTGCTACACTCAGATCCAGGCTGCCATCCTCAAGCATGTGACCTTGGTTGTTTTTCTCATCCCTCTGTGCGGCCTGGGCACCTGCATGCCGATGCTCATTGTGTTTAACCCTGACAACTACACCATAGTGAACAAAGACTGTGGGGTTTTATTGCCCGAGACGCGCTCTGACCAGATCTACGAAGCCATGAAACTGCTCCTAGCTGATGTCCTGCCAGGGGGGCTCATGGTGAAATGCTGCATCTCAATCTCCGTGCACCTGGCCATCCATCTCCAACACATGAAAGCCAGCACCAACGGAGCCCACTGCCCAAAGCTGGGCAATCAGTTGAGGGTGATCCAGATGGCGTTGTCTCTAGTGATCACGTTTATCCTCTTCCTTGTGATCGACCTGTACGTCTGCTACCAGATGGTGGTGAACCATGAGAACATCATCATGCTCACAATCTGCTTCACGTCCATCTACACGACTCTCTCAGCCATAGTGCTGATCTATGGGAAAAAGACTCTTTGGAAAGCTCTCATACATGAATTTAACGTCTGCCTGGATGAATATCCATGTTTGTCTTGGCTGAAGGTGCCTGAACAAAAGACTAAACCCAGCACTCCTGCAAAAGCTAAAAACTGAGAAGCCAAGTTGCTTCGCACTGAAGGTCTTTGTGCTGAAATCAATTGGTCATTGTCTAAACTTAAAACTTTGAAGTAACTTATTCTTTTATCTTTTCTGCTAGCAATTTCAGTAATGACTACTGTCCTGCTGGATCACCATTAATTACAATTTCTTACATCAATAAGGTGTTTTAGCTGTGTTAGCCAATTAGAGCAGGGAGGGTAGAGCCTTTCGAGTAACGCACAGATCATACAGTCAGGAAACAGGCTTTCCACTCAAATCACAAGCTCGTCAGACTGTACCCATCAGTATGAATTTATGAATATTCCAGTAGAACAAATAATAGTCAGGCCTGTAAAATAGATCCCCCCCAAGCATAGTTGCCAGAATATGATGTAACTTCATACCCATCTAAAAATGTTAAAAAATACATGTGATTGTGGTGAGAGCACAGAGCATATTAATAAAACAAGAAAGTACGCACAACCTGAATTCTTTTTCTTCACAGAGGTTTTAAGGATTTTTCCTCAGTCAGGTTGAAAATAGTTAAAGCTGCACATGGGGACCAATATCAGCCAACTTGTAACTGGAAGGTTGCCAGACCAAACTCCTGCACCAGTTTGGGGAGAAAACAACAAACTAATTGCCACGTTCTTTTGTGTATCTGCTCATTGGCCTTCAAGAGAAGTGCGCACGCCTGTACTTGACAGCTCCCAGGTGTGATTGTGTGTAACTGCAACTGGGTGTGAAGCTGGGCGTTCCTCAAAAACTGCACTCATGCCCAACAAACCTACCCTGAGTAAATAGAGGTTTTTAAAAAAACGCAGCAGACCACTTTGCAATGCTCCATTAGTTTGCACCCTCTGGCAGGTTCAAAGCAGAGACACAATAGTGCAGCTAATCCCACTCCACACAGGCTCGGGATCCCTCCAGCAGCTAAATGGACAAAGTAAGAAAGGGTATATCTTCCTTTGATGCAAGGAAGTTCCACATTCATGTATTGGCAGCACTTAACTGTTGTAGCTTGGTCGAGGTGGAGCTAGTTAACTTTAACTTTTGTATACACAGTTAGTTTAGTCCAGTCTTTCCCTACTGTCGGGCCCCTTCCAAAGGGTCACAAGATAAATTCTCAGGGGTCATGGGATGATTCTAATAAGAATGACAAAAAAATAAAACCTCTGTTACACACACATTTGTGAACATAACCAATCAGAGAAGTTTACAGAGTTAATGTCTCTTTGGTTTAACAGCTAACAGTGTCTAAAATGTAACAAGGAGCCCCCAACTAGACACTGCTTTAGTTAGTGTATGAGGTAACAAGCCAAAAAGGTTTGAAACCACTGGTTTAATATATATATTTCACATCTAAATCTGAAAAGTCACTATAGCTATAAAAATTAACATTTTCCTTTGAACTGTAGTGGAGAAGACGTACATAAAGTAACATAAAGTACCTCCAACTTGCACTAGAACTACAACTAAAATTTATGTTCCACCACTGTGAAATTAAGAATTTTCAACTCTCTGTGTAGCTTTCTGGGAAAAATCTTCCAGCTGCTTTACATCGAGTGTTGTCTCAAGGTAATGGGAACTGTATGTGTGTGTGACCCAAGACTCTATAGAAAGTTGGACACACAGGTGTCATTGGCGTGTTGTCAGTTGAGAGGACGTTGGAAAGACACCCTGCGTTGTAAATGAAAGAAACAAGACTGCTGTGACTGATGTCCTCAGACTCTATACAGCATGAAGCTGTAAACATGTCAATAGTATGGAGATTGTTTCCATGGAGATGCT